TAGAAATAATAAAATTTTATACAGCAATATAGCCAAATTAGATCATAAATTGATTTGGAAAAACTTCTGAAAGTTAAAATTAAATAAGTAAAATTATCAGAAACTTGGAAATTATGTCATAGGCAGCTGTGTAGACTATTAATGATATTGTATTTGAGCGAAAATTACTTAAGAGAAATGAATGCTTATTAAGATAAATGAACCTTTAAATACTAAGATACTTACATCCTAAAAGATTCTAATCTTGTTTTCATATCTGTAATAGAAAGTCTTCCATGGATGTTTATAAATGCAACATATCAGTTAAAATGTATACTTTCCAGATATGTATATTTATATTAAAATGCAGCTATGTTTATAAATTATATATTTACTATGGTATATCATATTTTGCACATTTTAATCCCCAAACAAAACCAACTCTCTGCCATCAAGTTGATTCTAACTCATAGTTAACCTATAGGAGAAGACAGAACTGTCCTGGTGTGTCTCCTATACCTCTTTACAGCAGTAGAAAGCATTACCTTTATCCTGCATAGCAACTGGTGGTTTTGATCAGCCAACCTCATGATTATCAGCCCAACACATAAGCACTACACCACAATGAACCTTGGCACTTATTTTAATAGAATAATAAAATTATAGGAATAAGATAATGCCAAACAAGGAAGATATTTTATAATAAAATTTATTCAACTTCTTTATTTGTGATACACAGTACTAGATTGAATTTGGTTATACTTTGTTGCAAGAGTATTGGCAAAAATTTTCTTTATTTTTTATTATGATGATTGGATAGTCTTTTCCAATTTTATTTATCCTATGACTCAGTTACAATGACATGCTGATCCACATTAAAAGAAGTGGGAATTATTTTACAATACAAATCAATGTATTTTTTTGTTATTGAGATTATACATTTCTGTTATATCTCATTTTCATCAGCTGTCTTGATTTTGTATTTATATATATGTTTTTAAATCGCAGTTTCATTATTTTAAAAAATACTTAGAGATTAAGATAATTCTGCTTCCAAGGTTTCCAAATGGCTAGATGAGCTTTTGCAAAATGAGTTTATATCATTTAAGTAACAGAGGTCTGGCAAAATTTCAGACAATTAATTACACAATTTCTTTTGCCTATTATATCTTTATTTCTTTTTATGGAAATTTTTTATTGACAACTGGATGGGGGTTTACATTTCAGATCATCAACTTGTATTCAACAGCTTAAACTTCCATGCTCCCTGCTGCAATAGTTTGCCATTTGTCAGCTCAATGATTTATCTTCTCTCTCTTATGGACTACTGTTTTTCATTTCGCCCATTAATACCTGTCAAAATTCTTGCCCATTGATTTATCCTCCCATCCAGCCCACACCTCCATTGGCAGTCCCCAAAGTCTATTTACTTTGGCATAAAAGTCTTTGTTTTTAACTCCTTATAATAGTGGTCTCCTATATGTGCCCTTTTGTGATTGGCTAATTTACCTCAACATGATGTTCTCTGGACCCATACATGCCATGAGAGGCTTCAAAATTCCCTGATTGTTTTTTAACGACCATAATATTCCATTGTACATATGTATCAAAGTCTCTTTAACCATTCATCTGATGATGGGCCTTTAGATATTTTCTATCTCCTTGATATTGTGAATAGAGCATCACCAAATATAAGAGTAGTTACTTTCTCATTTAATTTTAAAAATAATATCCATTTTGGAGCAAATGGCAAAGAGACATCACTATGGAAGTAAAGTATTCAGAGCTAAATTTTATCATACTCATCAAACTAAACCCACTGCACTGAGTCACTTCTATAAAAAGAGACCTTAACAGGAGAGGGTAGAACTGCTCTGTGAGATTTGTGAGGCTGT